GGGCGGCGCGGCTCGGTAAGGGCGGCGCGGCTAGGATCGGGCGGCGCGGCTCGGTTTGGGTCGGGCGGCTCGGTTCGGGCTGCTCGGGTCGGGCGGCTCGTGCTGGGCGGGGCCGTTCGGGGCCTCTAGGGGCGAGCGCGGGGCCGATTGGGCCTTTAGGGGCCGAGCGCGGGGCCGTAAGGGGCCGCTAAGGGCGATGCGCGGGGCCGATCGGGGCCTTTAGGGACGAGCGCGGGGCCGTAAGGGGCCGCTAAGGGCGAGCGCGGGGCCGATCGGGGCCTTTAGGGACGAGCGCGGGGCCGTAAGGGGCCTCTAAGGGCGATGCGCGGGGCCGATCGGGGCCTCTAGGGGCAAGCACGGGGCCGTAAGGGGCCTCTAGGGGCAAGCGCGGGGCCGTTTGGGGCCTCTAGGGGCAAGCGCGGGGCCGTTCGGGGCCTCTAGGGAGGTGAGCGCGGGGCCGACGGGGCCTCTAGGGAGGTAAGCGAGGGGCCGATGGGGCCGTTAGGGGCGATCGCGGGGCCGAAAGGGGCCGCTAGGGGCGAGCGCGTGGGCTGTTCGGGGCCTCTAGGGGCGGGCCGACGGGGCCTTAAGGGGCCGTGAAAACCGAGGCGCCCTAGGGCGCAGATAGGTAGGTAGGTAGGTAGGTAGGTAGTGGTGGGCCCTAAAGAAATCGGTCCTAGGAAGGACCTGCTCTGTACCATGATGAAATCAATGAACAGGAATGATTGAACTAGCAGTGAAATCAGTACAAGTACCTAACCCTAGAATTGTGTACCCCTTATAGGCTAACCCAATGTAGCCTAAACAAGTAGAACATATATAATGTTTGACTGCGTCACACGTCCCTTGTTGCTCAACACCGTGGACGCCCCCGTGGTCCAGTCGATCGTCGGATTATATCGCTGTAGCAAATCCCATCCCAACAGCGCATCGCCACCGTCAAGTGTTGTCACCAGCATCTTCATTGAAAACCCGAAATTGTCGCCACACTTCATCCGAATTTGTTGCACCCCATCCCTAATCACCAGCGGTGTTCCGTCCACCAGTCGTGCTTAAATCTTGGGGAGACACGTGTCCAGCTTAACTCCGATTTGCTTTTTTGTCGTTGCCAGGTTGACGAGACTGTGGCTCGCCCCACCGTCAACAAAATATGACCGTTAACCCTCCCAAAGACCAGCACAAGATGATCCAGGCGTTCATCCACGTGTTCATGGGAGCGGAATCTGAGACGGATACATGCTCGAATCTGGCTTGCAGCACGGAGCCCCGCTCTGTCTTGTCAAACATCATATATGTTATAGTGACGTAGGCTATATTGGGTTTAGCCTTAGGGGGTACACAAGTCTAGGTTTGTACTTGTACTCTCGATTCCTTCTAGTCGACACCTTTTTCTCATTCTAACATGGTATCAGAGCCTAGGTTATGCACCTAGGACCATCTCGTTCTTAGGGCCCGCCCTTCCGCTAGCGCCCTTGAGCGCCTTCTCCTTTAGCGCCCTCGTGCGCCTCGCTGTTAGTGCGCTCTCGCGCGCCTCGTTTCCCGGTCGAGTAGCCTGCTAGAAGATTGCACGCGGCCTCGTTTTTTTTACCCGCTAGTAGCCCGCGTGCGGCCCGAGTCGCACGCCCGACGTTCGTAGGCCGCCCGTGCGGCTATATCAGCCCATGAGCAGGCCCCTAGCCGCCCGTCGACCCGCCTGACTAGCTCGCCAGCGCTACGCAGCCCTGCCCGTAGGCCATCGTGTCGCCCCAGTAGGCAGCCGCCACTGCTTTAGTAGGCCGCCACCCGCGCAGGACTGCAGCCTGAGCGGGACCGCTTGCCCCTAGGACGGCGCACGACCCACCGCCGCTAGCCCGCAGGTCGCAACCCGCCCACAGTGACGAAGGCACGTACGCTGCTGCAGCTCGCGTTTTTTTTTTTTTTTTTTTTTTTTTTTTCACTGCAGCCTGGACCCACCCGTGGCCTGTGCGCAGCTTCACATTAGGCGCCGCCGCCCACCGTGCTAGGCACGCCGTCACGCTGCCATTAGTGCCCGAGCTGCGCCACCCGAGTCGCGCCGCCTGAGTCGCGCCGCCCGAGCGGCGCCGACCTGACCGAGCCGCGCCACCCCACCAGCTGCACCTGTTGTTCCTGTTCCTACTGTTCCAGCTCTTCTTCTCACTACTGCTGCTACTGCTGCAGCTCTTACTGCTACTGCGGCTGCTCTTATTGCTACTGCTGCTACTGCCACTATGGCTACACCCACAGTTCTCTCTTTCGATGCTGAGGGCCGTCCGCTGCAGTTTGAGGCCTGGCTCGACAATCTCCACATCTTCCTCTAGATCACAGCTAAGGATGATGTCTCGCTATATGACCACGCGCTAGGGACCGCTCTCGCACCTGCTGACTCTGCTGACAGTACAGCTCGCTCCCAGTGGCAGACTCGTGACGCCCACGCTCGCCTAGCCATTCGTAGCCACCTGCTGTTACATGAGCGCGCACACTTCGGCCAGCATGAGACTGGTAAGGCACTGTACGATGCAGTTGTCGCTCGCTACTCCTCGCCTGCCTCTGCTACAATAGGCCGTCTCCCGCTGCCCTATCTTTTCCCCGATCTCGCCGCCTTTCCCACAGTCGCTGACCTCATCACCCACCTCCGCACTAGTGACACTCGCTACCGAGCCGCCCTTCCTGTTGAGTTCCTCGCCAAGAATCCCCCCCCGATGTACCTTGTTCTCTACCACGTAGTCACTCGTCTCCCTGACTCTCTTCGCGCAGTTAGGGACCACTTTCTCGCCCTCCGCCCCACCGAGCTCACCATTGACCTCCTTGAGAAGCATCTGCGTGCAGCTGAGTCTAGCATAGTTGCTATAGGTGCCTCTCGTGGCGACCCCCGCACGCCCTTCTTTGACGGGTGTTCCCCTCCCCCCCTTCTCCCCTCGGTTGCCTCTGCTGCCGCTGTCGACTTCCTTGGTGCTGAGGAAGTCGGGGCTGCGTCTGCTCCTAGCTGGAGGCGCAAGGGCGGCAAGGGCAAGAGGGGCAAGGGTGGTGGTGGTACCAGCGGGGGAGGAGGAGGTGGAGGTGGCGGCGGTGGGGGCGGTGGGGGTGGTGGCGGTGGTGGGGGTGGTGGTGGGGCTGGGGGGGTGGGTGGCAGCGGCGGGGGTGCTAGCGGCAGTGGTGGTGGAGGGGGCCGGGGTGGAGGTGGTGGTTGTGGAGGCAGTGGGCGTGGGGGCGGCGGCTCGGGTGGTGGTCGGGGTGGACCGGCGCAACCCTATGGTTTGCACTCGGCTTGTTGTCCGTGTGCATGCATGTGTGTGTGTATGGAATGGTATGAGGGCATGGGATAATATATATTTCATTCTTATAATTGTGTGTGAATGTTGAGTCATGATGTCGAGTGTGTGTGTTGAGTCAATAGCGAGTTATCGCTAGACGCGTGTTACGCGGTCGTTTGTGTCTCGCGCGCAGTTTCTATTTTGTCGTGCGCGGTTTCTATTTTGTCCTGTGTCGAACGTTCGGTGTGTTGCAGGTGTGTGCAGCAGACCCATCAAGAACTCAAGGATGAGTTTGTGATGAAGAGCCCGAGCCTTGGTGTCAAGCCTCAAGTGATTTCGAAGCTCGCCAAAAGGGTACACCTCAAGATATTGAAGATGGTTACATTACTTTGTGTAGTGTAACATTTCACTTGGTGTAGGCCCTAGTGAAGGGTAGTTTCGAGACCCTTCGTGGTTGGGGACAGTGTGGCACTGTTCCACATCACTGTACCTTGGCTCTTGGGGTTTGTAGGAGCTGGGAGTCATTCCCAACTCGTAACTCTTCCTAACTCTTCCTATCTTGTGTTCTAGGACTATAGTGGCTGCCATAGTGCCATTCGTTCAAACCAACGCTGTGTCGTCAATACTTGGTCAAATCGTGCGATCTAAATTGCCTATTGTAGGCAACAATACGACGCTCGTGATCCAAGTTGAATCAAGTCATTTAAAGCTGTGACCAGAACGATATGAACGTTTGAATCCGCTGTGCAGAAATCCGACTGTGCACTCTATCTTTCGTTTTAGGCACATTGGAGCCTACTGTGACTATAACAAGTGGTATCAGAGCCCCTTGGAGCAGTTTCGACAATGGCTGGACATGAGGAAAGGGGTGGCAGAGGTGCTGGTGGTAGAGGAGAAGCCCAAGCTCAAGGCCAACCCCGTGACTCAGCCATGGCGCCTGTGCAACCAAGTGTTGGCCCATCTAGGGATGATCCTAGAGTGTTTGGCCATGACAAGTTCAATGGTGACAACTTTGCTGAGTGGTCCTTCAGAATGGAGAACATATTTGACCACTATGACCTGCTGGAGGTGATGGAAGGAAAAGAGAAGCGTTCCGAGAACGACCCGGAGAAGAGCCCGTGGGTGCGGAAGAGCGCACAAGGCTACCTCCTACTTGGGCAAGCGTTTGGGAGCAGCCAAATCCGTCACATCAAGCCTTTCCAGCGTGAACCAGAGAAGGGACCAAAAGCATGGGCTGCTCTCAAGGCTGTACACGCTCCTGCAACAGCGGTGGTAGCTGTGGTGTTGGAACGGCAAATGGCGGCGTTACGAATTGAAGAGGATGAAGCGGTTGAAGAAGGGGTGCAGAAATTCTTCGACTTGTTGACGCGGCTTGAGGGAGCGGATTTGAACTACAGTGAGCTCCAAAACAAGACCAATTTGCTGGCCCTACTCCCCGAATCATGGTCCTCGCTCATCATCAACCTGAATCGCGACTTGCCCCGCCTCTCGCTCGAAGACGTGAAGCGAGCTATCCTTCAAGAGGATTTCCGCCGCCGTGAGTTGGCGAGTGCGGATGGCGCTGGGGCAGCGAGCATCGGCCGTGGATATGGTCGAGGAAGAGGCAGAGGACGAGGGGGAGGAAGGTTTGGTGGCAGAAACTTTGGCGGAGGCCGCGGGAGTGGCGGTTACGGCAGCGACGACAAGAGCTACGGGCGCGATCGCGGCCAATTCGACGGCGAATGCCATTATTGCCACAAGAGCGGACATATGTGGCGCGATTGCTACAAGCTCCCTGATGGTTGGACCCCTGCTCAAGGCCAAGAGGGTAGAGGAGCAGGAGGAGGGAGAGGACGAGGCCGTGGAGGCCGGGGCGGTCGCGGTGGCGGAGCTGCAAACATGAAGAGCGGAGACAACGACAAGGACCCGAGCGAGGATCGATACCCCGGTCTATTCTACTTCGTGTCGACGCAAGCACCGTCTGGTCCAAAGAAGGATGAAGGCTTTGAGGAGCCAGCAGCTGTGGGGAAGGTGACCCTACACCCCCTGGACTATTGGGTGATTTATAGTGGCGCTACCTATAGCATGACACCTCGCCCGGACTTGTTCACCGAACTCGAGCCGTCACCGGTGAAGCATGTCACATCGGCTTTGGGGCAGCGAGCAGAGGTGAAAGGCATGGGGAAGGCCATGTTCAAGGGTGCTGATGGGAAGATGGTGGGCCTCAAGAACGTGCTTTGGGTGCCCAGCCTTGCTGCAAACCTGATTTCCGTGCGGCGGTTGGCAAAGGCCGGCATGGACACTAACTCGAAGGGAGCCAAGACCTACCCCGCAAGGCTTGGCGATCGGGTTCTTTGGGACCTTCATGAGGACAGGGATGTCTACAACGAGATGTGGCAGATCCCAGTGGTCCCTATGCCTAAGGAGAGGCAAGTGGCAGCAAGCGCCAGCACCAAAGGTGAAGCGGTTGGTAGCGGCGATTGCGCGGACGGTCGCGCTAAGGAGAAGGAGTCCAAGAAGTGGAATCTTGGAGGGACCAGCAAGCTCGGTGATCATGACAAGTGTGGTGCAGAAGCCAAGGAGCAGCACAAGGGTGAGGAGAACCCTGAGGCAGCAGCGGTGGAGGAGTACGGAGAGAGCATGTGGGGCGCTATTGCGAGCGCAGCATTCTCCAATCCGACTTCGGCTACAGGGGAGTGCGATTGGCTTACCTTGCATCGGCGAATGGGGCATGTGGCCCTGCCTATCTTGCAGCAGCTAGTAAAGAATGAGATGGTTGCTGGCATACGTCTGAAGGGGGAGCCCGATGAGGTGCTTGGCTGCCCGACGTGCATTCAAGCCAAGTTCACCTGGTTTCTGTTCCCTAGTTCGGAGGCAACGGCAAAGGCACCGCTTGATGAGGTGGTGATGGACGTGGTGGGCCCCCTGAAGCTTGGAGCTGCTGGAGCTGAGTATTTTCTCACCATTGTCGACGTCTACACCCGCATGACTTGGGTGTATGTGCTGGCCAAGAAGAGCGACGTGGCTGAAACGTTGAAGACGGATTGGTTCCCGATGGTGGAGCGGCAACAAGACCGTCTAGTCAAGTCAATCCGCACCGATCGAGGGGGAGAGTTCCTGCGCAAGGAGTTTGGGTTCTGGCTGAAGAAGAATGGTATTCGGCACTCCCTCACCATTCCATACTCCCCTGCAATGAATGGCATCGCCGAGCGAGCGAACCGCACAATCACGGAGGCGGCGCGCGGGTTGCTCATTGAAGCCGGGCTACCCGACTATTTCTGGCCTGATGCAGTGCGGAGCGCGTGTGTGGCCAAGAACAGAGCCTTGACTCATGTGGGAGCAGACAAATGGGTGCCCTATGTGGAGTGGCTAGGAAGGAAGCCAAAGGTGGATATGCTTCGGGTGTTCGGGTGCATGTGCATGGCGCTTGTGCCTAAGCATCTTCGGCACAACAAGCTTGGTGCCAAGGCGGTGTGGGCCGTGCACTTGGGCATGGCTCAAAACAGCAAGGGATGGCTTCTTTGGGACCCATTCACCAAGAAGTTCTTGGTGAGCAGGGGATTGGAAGGCGGAGAATGAGGCGAAGATATCCGTGCGGTTTGGGGAGGTGAAGAGTTCTGGTTCGGAGCATGTGGAGCTGCCTTTGGAGCTGAGCAGCGGCAGCACAACCACGAGGCAATCCTCCCTTGTGAATGGGGGAGAGGAGGCCAATGATGCAGAGGAAGAAGAGGAGGAGGTGCAGCAAGTGAGCGAGCGTTGCACCGTCACTCCCTTCCCGTACCATGAGTGCTCCATGGATTCGAGCCACACCGCAGCAACGCCAAGGCCTTCAAGTCCCTGCAGCTGAGGAGGAAGGAAGGGGGAAGAGGAGAGTTCAACCCCCTAATAGGCTGACCGGAGCGGCAATGATGGTCGGAGACGACGAGGAGAGTGACTACGAGGAGTGTGCCTTCGCGTTCTTCTCTCCGTTGAGCGCCTTCTCCTTTAGCGCCCTCGTGCGCCTCGCTATTAGTGTGCCCTCGCGCGCCTCGTTTCCCGGTCGAGTAGCCTGCTAGAAGATTGCACGCGGCCTCGTTTTTTTACCCGCTAGCAGCCCGCGTGCGGCCCGAGTCGCACGCCCGACGTTCGTAGGCCGCCCGTGCGGCTATATCAGCCCATGAGCAGGCCCCTAGCCGCCCGTCGACCCGCCTGACTAGCTCGCCAGCGCTACGCAGCCCTGCCCGTAGGCCATCGTGTCGCCCCAGTAGGCAGCCGCCACTGCTTTAGTAGGCCGCCACCCGCGCAGGACTGCAGCCTGAGCGGGACCGCTCGCCCCTAGGACGGCGCACGACCCACCGCCGCTAGCCCGCAGGTCGCAACCCGCCCACAGTGACGAAGGCACGTACGCTGCTGCAGCTCGCGTTTTTTTTTTTTTTTTTTTTTCACTGCAGCCTGGACCCACCCGTGGCCTGTGCGCAGCTTCACATTAGGCGCCGCCGCCCACCGTGCTAGGCCCGCCGTCACGCTGCCATTAGTGCCCGAGCTGCGCCACCCGAGTCGCGCCGCCTGAGTCGCGCCGCCCGAGCGGCGCCGACCTGACCGAGCCGCGCCACCCCACCAGCTGCACCTGTTGTTCCTGTTCCTACTGTTCCAGCTCTTCTTCTCACTACTGCTGCTACTGCTGCAGCTCTTACTGCTACTGCGGCTGCTCTTATTGCTACTGCTGCTACTGCCACTATGGCTACACCCACAGTTCTCTCTTTCGATGCTGAGGGCCGTCCGCTGCAGTTTGAGGCCTGGCTCGACAATCTCCACATCTTCCTCTAGATCACAGCTAAGGATGATGTCTCGCTATATGACCACGCGTTAGGGACCGCTCTCGCACCTGCTGACTCTGCTGACAGTACAGCTCGCTCCCAGTGGCAGACTCGTGATGCCCACGCTCGCCTAGCCATTCGTAGCCACCTGCTGTTACATGAGCGCGCACACTTCGGCCAGCATGAGACTGGTAAGGCACTGTACGATGCAGTTGCCGCTCGCTACTCCTCGCCTGCCTCTGCTACAATAGGCCGTCTCCCGCTGCCCTATCTTTTCCCCGATCTCGCCGCCTTTCCCACAGTCGCTGACCTCATCACCCACCTCCGCACTAGTGACACTCGCTACCGAGCCGCCCTTCCTGCTGAGTTCCTCGCCAAGAATCCCCCCCCGATGTACCTTGTTCTCTACCACCTAGTCACTCGTCTCCCTGACTCTCTTCGCACAGTTAGGGACCACTTTCTCGCCCTCTGCCCCACCGAGCTCACCATTGACCTCCTTGAGAAGCATCTGCGTGCAGCTGAATCTAGCATAGTTGCTATAGGTGCCTCTCGTGGCGACCCCCGCACGCCCTTCTTTGACGGGTGTTCCCCTCCCCCCCCTTCTCCCCTCGGTTGCCTCTGCTGCCGCTGTCGACTTCCTTGGTGCTGAGGAAGTCGGGGCTGCGTCTGCTCCTAGCTGGAGGCGCAAGGGCGGCAAGGGCAAGAGGGGCAAGGGTGGTGGTGGTACCAGCGGGGGAGGAGGAGGTGGAGGTGGCGGCGGTGGGGGCGGTGGGGGTGGTGGCGGTGGTGGGGCTGGGGGGGTGGGTGGCAGCGGCGGGGGTGCTAGCGGCAGTGGTGGTGGAGGGGGCCGGGGTGGAGGTGGTGGTTGTGGAGGCAGTGGGCGTGGGGGCGGCGGCTCGGGTGGTGGTCGGGGTGGACCGGCGCAGCGGGGAGGTGCGGGTGGTGTCCAGTGCCAGCAGCAGCGTCTTGGAGAGACCCCATCGTCCCAGCAGCTTCGTGAGTGGTACTCTCAGCATGGGGGTTCTGGGGGTAGGGGTACCTGCACATATGTCATCCGCACGGGTGACCGCGCTGGTCAGACGTGTGGGAGGTTCCACACGCCACAGCGCTGCTTCTTCCGTCTCGACGACGCCTGGCGTGCACAGTTCCCTGAGGCCTCTGAGCTGCCCCGCAGGGCTGATCTGCTTAAAAAGAACATTTATGTATTTGCACTTGTATGTTATCCTAGGAGCCATGTATGCATTGACTATCAGTGTTGAGGGTGACTGTTACTTGTGTGTGCCACCAGACCCAGGCATTGCGACCAGTGAGGCTGCCGCTCTAGGTGCTAGTGCGTCTGCTGCCCCAGGCCCTGGTGAGGCTGTTGCTCTAGGTGCAGGTGTGTCTGCTGCTTCAGGTGCTTGTGAGTCTGCGCCTTCATGTACTGAGTCTACTGAGGCAGGGCACACCTTCACACTGGACTCAGGTGCTTCTCGCTGTTTCTTTCGCTACCGCACTGCTCTCGAGCAGCTCCCTAGGCCGGATGTTGTCTCCCTGGCTGACCCCTCAGGGGGTCCGGTCCTTGCGACCTCCTCCACTGCCCTCCCTTGTCCTGCTGTCCCGTACGGCACACTGTCGAGCCTCTACCTCCCCTCATTCTCCACGAACTTGGTGGCGAGGTCCGCGCTCCAGGATGTGGGTGTTCAACAGTTCACCCCTGCCTACGAGCGTGTAACACACTGCACGTGTGCGCGGACGGGTCGTCACCTGGCTACCTTCACTAGGCAGCCGGGGTCTGACTTGTACACACTGACCACTGAGTCCCCTCAGGTAGCAGCGTCTGCGTCTGCGTCAGGTCAGTTGTTTGCCCCCTGCTCGTGTCGCTCCCTGTCGCACCGGACAGTCCTCTGGCACCACCGCCTTGGGCACCCTTCGATGCAGCGCCTTCGTGGCATGCACTCCCGTTACCTTGTCTCTGGTCTCCCCAGGTCACTGCCTCCCCTGCCACAGTCCCCTGCCCCTCCCTGCCTTCCTTGTATCGAGGGGCTGGCAGCGTGCCACCCCTCACTCCTCTGAGTTTCCCCCGACGGAGGCCCCTCTGCAGACCCTTCACATGGATGTGTGGGGCCCAGCCCGCGTCCGTGGACAGGGAGGAGAGCGCTACTTCCTGCTGGTAGTTGACGATTACACGCGTTACACCACGGTCTTCCCCTTGCGCACCAAGGGAGAGGTCCCTGCTGTTTTTATCCCTTAGATCCGCGATACCCGTTCCCAACTGGAGAGGCGCTTTCGCACGGACCTTCCTGTCCTGCGTCTCTTGGAGACCTTCTGTCAGGGAGAGGGCATACGCCAGACGTTCACGCTTCAGGCCTCTCCTCAGCATAATGGGGTTGCTGAGCGCCGCATTGGCTTGGTCATGGAGGTCGCTCGTACCTCCTTGGTCCATGCGGCTGCCCCCCATTTTCTGTGGCCGTTTGCGGTCTGCTACGCCGCGCATCAGCTTAACCTCTGGCCCCGTGTCTCCGTTCCGGAGACCTCGCCGACAGTGCATTGGATGGGAGAGGTTGGCGATGCGTTTGTGTTCCGGGTCTGGGGATCTCGTGCCTTTGTCCGCGATACGTCTGCGGACAAGCTCTCCGCCCGCGCTATTCCCTGTGTCTTCCTTGGCTTTGTCCCTGACGCGCCTGGCTGGCAGTTTTACCACCCCACCTCGCGTCGTGTCTTTGCCTCTCAGGACGTCACGTTTGACGAGTCGGTCCCCCTCTACCGTCTCTTCTCTTACCGCACAGCCCCGCTCCCCCCCCACCCCCGCCGCTCTTCCTCACGCAAGGTGCTGCTTTGGTAGACCCCCTTCCTCACGCAGGTAATTCCCAGGTAGACCCGGTCGAGCCTGTCGAGGTAGCTGTCGACTCTGGTCCTGCGCGAGGTGCTGAGCGTGCTGAGCATGGTAGTGCTGGGTCTGGGGGTGCTGAGACTGGGGGTGCTGAGCCTGGGGGTTCTGAGCCTAAGGGTGCTGAGCCTGGGGATGCTGAGCCTGGGGGTTCTGGGCCTGGGGGTGCGGAGATTGGGGTTGCTGAGCCTGGGGGTCCGAAGACTACTGATGCTGCACTTGGAGGTCCTGAGCCTGGAGGTGCTGCGCCTGGGGGCGCTCTCTCTCCCCAGCAGCTGCGTGAGTGGTACTCTCGGTACTGTCGCCGCCGCCGTGGTGCTGTGGACACTGGAGGTACTACTGGAGCTGGGCCTACTGGAGTTGGTGTCGCTGCTGACCCTGGTGTTGGCACTGGGGGTGCTACTGGAGCTGCTGCAGGGGCTGGAGCTGGAGGTGCTGCCACTCGTCCTCCACCTGGTGCGGGAGCCGACGGTGCGGCTGGAACTGGTGCTGTTGGGGATACCGGTGTTGGCGCTATTGGAGCTGCTGGTGGTGCTGCAGGAGTTGGAGCTGCTTCTGGAGGTCCTGGTGCTGTCTCTGCTGGTTCTGGGGGCAGTGCTCGGCCGCGGCCATACTTCGTTTCCCTCCTCCTTTAGGAAGTTCTTGGTCAGCCGTCTCCTCCTTGTCCTGCTCCCTCCTTAGAGTGTCTCCCGCCTGTCCAGTCGCAGTCACACTTACCGCCTGCGTTGCCACTTCCTCCTCCTTCTCCCTACACTTGTCCAACAGGAGGTCTTACGGAGCGTCGTGAGCCTGAGTCTCGTCCTGTGTCACCTGAGTCTCGTTCTTCGTCACCTGTTTTTGGTGCTCGCACTGGTTGTCGTGTCCCGCGTCATCGTCCCCCTGCTGTCCCAAGCACTCACCAGATGACGCTTCGTCCTTCTACTGCTCCACAGCGTGTCCCTCTGCCTTCTCCTCCTGCGTCCTCCCTTCCTGCCCTTGCTGACCCGTAGTGGGATACTCTTCGTGCTACTAGTCCTCCTGGCCACTGTTGTCACTGACCCTTCCTTTGAGTCTGCTGCTGCGTCTGCCTTAGTTGCTGAGCTTGTCTGCTGTTTAGACTACGCTGCCAGTCTTGTTGCTGAGTCTGAGTCTATCTGTCCTCCGTCCGTCGGGGGTGAGTGTGCTCTTGGCACGGACGTCCTTGAGGACAGGCAGGAGGAGTTTGAGTGCTTTGCCGCTGCTGTGCCTCATTTCGTGTCCATGCTGATTGCACCTGAGGGAGTCCCGGATGCTCCACACATCCCGACCCCGCGCTCTTACGCTGAGGCGATCGCGGGTGAGTACTCCTCTTAGTGGCAGTCAGCCACGGACGCACAGATGGCATCCTGGAAGTCCACTGGAACTTACGTCGACGAGGTTCCCCCTCCTGGGGCGAACATCGTCAGTGGCATGTGGATTTTCAGGGTGAAGCGACCGCCAGGTTCTCCGCCTGTCTTCAAGGCTCGGTACGTTGCTCGAGGCTTCTTTGGGTCGTTGCCCACTGGTACCCAGTAGAGCCTCCGTCGGCCAGTCTACACTCTTTGCCAGGCACCACGTGAGTGGCACGACACACTGAGGACTACACTTGCGGCTCTTGGGTTCGCTCCTTCTACTGCTGACCCGTCGCTGTTTTTGCGCACCGACACCTCGCTGCCGCCGCTCTACATCCTCGTGTACGTCGTCGACTTGGTCTTTGCTACTGCTGACACTGAGGCTCTCGCCCACATGAAGCCGGAGCTGCAGAAGAGACACACGTGCACGGACCTGGGTGAACTGCGCAGCTACCTTGGCTTGCAGATCACCCGGGACAGAGCACGTCGCACCATCACACTGACTTAGTCACACTTGATGCAGCAGGTCCTTCAGCGCTTCGGCTTCACCTGGTCCTCGGCACAGGCCACTCCTCTGGCTACAGGTCCATCGCTCTCAGCTTCACCTTCGGACGAGTCTGTAAAGCCGAGTGGTCCTTACCCAGAGCTAGTTGGCTGTCTCATGTACCTAATGACTTGCACTCGTCCTGACCTCGCTTACCCTCTTGGTCTCCTGGCTCGCTACGTGGCTCCTAGCCGGCATCGACCTGAGCACATGGCTGCCGCTAAGAGGGTTCTGCGCTACTTGTGCAGCACATCAGACATGGGGCTCGTGCTTGGAGGGAAGAGCCCTGTTGTCCTCACTGGGCACTCAGACGCTTCTTGGGTTGACGACCAAGCTACTCAGCGGTCGTCACAGGGTTACACCTTCAGCCTTGGCTATAGTTCAGTTTCTTGGCGTTCTACTCGCTCGTCTTCGGTTCTCAGCTCCCGTTGTGAGGCTGAGATCTACGCCACAGCCATGGCTGCACAGGAGTTACGCTGGCTCACCTACCCGCTGACCGACTTGGGAGAGCGGCCTCGTTCCCCTCCAGTGCTGTACATCGACAACAAGGCTACCATTGCCTTGTGTGAGGAGCACAGACTGGAGCACAGAACGAAGCACATCGCTCTGTGTTACTTCCTAGCTCGAGAGTTGCAGCAGCGTGGTCAGCTTCGTCTGCGTTACGTGGCCACTCGGGCCAAGACTGCTTATATATTCACCAAGGCACTTCAGGTTGGTGATCATCAGCGTTTCTGCACTTTACTAGGGCTTGTGCCCACTTTTCCTCACTTGCTGTAGGCTTTGCTTGTATTGTGATCTATATGTATACCTGCATGTTTGCATTGGTAGATAGAGATCACTGTGCTGCTTGTGTTGCATATATGCCTGTGCATGTGAACTAGCCTTGTGGCCCTTTGCTTGTGCTCAGTGTGTGTGGTGACTTTGTGATCCACCCTGAGCTTGCTTTGCCTTTCTTGACTGGTCTTGTGACCCCTTTGCTCTCCCCCAACTCGCCTATGGGGGTGTGTCAAACATCATATATGTTATAGTGATGTAGGCTATATTGGGTTTAGCCTTAGGGGGTACACAAGTCTAGGTTTGTCCTAGGGGGTTAACAGCGATTTTTTATGACTTTGATAAAGGCCCAAACGCTACTAGTGGAAGCAAAATAATTGTATATATTTCTTAGCCAACTGCTTTGCAGCCTGTTGGGCTCGGAAAAAACCTTAGGATCGTTTCACGGCCACGACTCAGTGTGATGATGTCATTTGCGGAAGCGTATTAGTAAACGAATTGAACCACCTTGCACTGGTATGTGAGAACAAGATAAGCTGATAATAACAAAGAGTTACAAGCTTTAATATGATTACAAGGAGTACAAAAGATTTAACTGACTGTAACTGCTGTTGCGGTTCGATACAACGATGACTCGAGTGATTGCTCAATATCGAGTCAGTTATGTGTCCTTGTCATCGCGCTGCCTTCGGCGAGTCAAAGGTCGCTGACCTTTGACCTTCACTCAACTTCTTGCTGTTGTCTTTCTGTCAACCGCTTTGGTTGACTCGCTGTTGCTTCGCTTTAGTTCGCTTCGTTTTTGTTGTAGTGCTTGACATATCAGAAGTGCGAACTAGATGTTTCCAACTCTTCCCTTTGCTTCTGGAGTGTCGTCGCCTTCGTTGTTGATGACGTGGCCATGTCTAGTCAGAAGCATGCAGTAATCGAACTTCTGCTTTCTGAGTTTCTTGGTCAAGTAGTTTGGTGCCATCTTGGACGTGGGAGAGTAGGATAGCTCGAGTCTTCCTTTCTCGATCTGGCCCTTCATGAATAAATAGCGCAGGGCAATATGCTTCGTTCGGTTCGCGAACCCACTCTTGTTCGCTATGCGAGTTGCAAATTGGTTGTCGCAGAAGAGGGAGAAGCTGGGTAACTAGGCCAGCTTTCCTTCTTCCAGTAGTTCGCAAAGGTACAGTCCTTCCTTGGTGGCTGAGCAAAGTGCTATGTATTCAGCTTCAGTGGAGGAGAGAGCAATTTACTCTTGCTTGCTCGACTTCTGCGAGATAGGACCAATAGGCTCGAGTCGGTAGATGTAGCCAGGGCGTGATCGCCTGTTGTCGGAGTCGCCAGCGTGGTTAGCATCCACGTAGCCGATTAGTTTAGGCGTCGTGATCCTGGTTTTGTGGTAGGTTAGGCCGGATGTCGGTGTGCTCTGCTTCGGGCTTCTTGAGGTAGGTGGCGAGCTGGCTTGCTGAGTATGACAGGTCCGGACGGCAGGTAACGGATGCGAAGAGTAGGCATCCCAGCTTTTGTTGGTGGTCATGTATGCGAGCAAATCCGAGCGGAGCGGAGGCTTCTTTGTGGCTTCCGGCGGTTGTAGCGGTACGGGGTGGAGATGACGGCTGGGATTAGTCCCAAGTGTTTTGCGATGGTGTCGGCATATTTTGCGGTGCTTAGATGGATCGCGTTTTCTCCGTCAAGAATGTTGAGTCCAAGATATTGGGCTATGATGGAAGAGACGGTGAGTGTGAGATCCTTCTGTAGCTCCCCTTCAAACCAGGTTGTGATGCCATCGGTGGAGCCTATGTAGAGCAGGTCATCTACATAGACAATGAGTAGGATTTAGTTGGCTTGCTTTGTGAGCTTGTACATGCCTGGTCGTGTGGTAGCTTAAGGAAGCCGAAGTGAATTAGTCGGGCGTGTAGGTACTATTGCCACAATCTCAGCACTTGCTTGATGAGGTAGAGAGACTTTAGCAGCTGACAGACTTGATTGGGGTTTGTGGAGGAGCGGTGTGTTTGTTCGGCGAAAATTTCCGCATCGACGGGAGCGTAGAGAAATGCATTAGCCACGTCGATTTGGTGATGCTTCTTCCACTTCATGGCGGCTATCGCGAGGAGAATCCGCAGGGAAGTGTGTCCTCTGACTGGTGCAAAGGTCTCGGTGAAATCTCGCCCGTACTCTTGGTCGAAGCCGCGCATGACCCATCATGCTTTGAACTTGTCAATTGTTCCGTCTGCTTTTGTCTTCACATGGAAGACCCATTTTCTGGTGAGTATGGTCTTGTTACGTGCCACTCCGATGGGTACTATCTTCCGGGTGTTGCGATCTTCCAGCGCCTTTAATTCTCTGTCCATGGCTTCGTGCCATTTTTCTCTGTGCTCCCCCCCCCCCCACATTTTTCTCTGTGCTCAGAGCCTGGTGAACTGTGGCAGGCTCCTTTGGTGGCGATGCTCCGTGGACGGCGGTGACGAGTTCGAGTATCTGCAGCCCACGATAAAGAAAATAAGGGAGATTTGGGTCCTCGGGATAGACTGCTTCGTCTCCCGCTTCTGGATCAGGTAAGAAGTTGGGGCGTATACATTTTGAATCGTTTGTATTGACTGGCTGAGGTGTAACGTAACCATTGTCGACAAACTGGTAGTAGACTTCGGCGTTGATGTTTCGCGAGGATTGTCATCCACCATCGGAACAGGTACCGAACAGTAAGGGAGAGGTTTGGCTTCTTCAGATGCTCCATCCACGTTTTGATCATCCTAGTCAGCCTCATCTGTTGGTGTGACAATGGCTCGGTTGCCACGGAAGTCGTGCGCGAGGTCCCGTTCTGCTGCCAAGTTGTCCAGGTACGTTTGAAGAGTGAGTCGCTCATAGAAAATCACGTCACGTCCTGCTACTATTTCCTTCGAGTGGACGACCAAGATTTTCCATGTGTTGTAATGCTTTTCAACTGCCCAGTTGTAGTCCCCACTGTGCGCGTTGTGAGAATCTTCCGGCTCGTGCAGTGTGTGGTCAGTACTGTACCATGCAGCCAAAAACTCGTAACATTGTTGTGTTGCCCAATTTTCTTGTCCACAGCAGATGCAGTGATGCGTTGCTCGGAAGCGAGGATGATAAAAACAAATTGTGCAACAGCACAGCATGGTCCATCGCCTCAGGCCACTGATGGTTAAGTAGCGGCATGCCACGTAGCAGCTTGCACATGGTGTTCTGGAGGGTCCTGTTTATTCTTTCTGCCACACCTTGATGTTGATGAGCGTAGGGAAGAGAGATGAGGCGTTTGATGTCTCTCTCTGCTCGGTAGTGCTTGAAATGCTCTGATTGATATTCCCCTCCTCCGTCTGACTGGAAGCTTTTCAGCTTCACTCCTGATTCCCGTTTTGCTACTGGAAGCCAGGCGACGAAGGCTTCAAAGGCCATGACGCGACTCGGAAGGCTACGATGCCACGTATCTGGTGGCAGCATCCATGAAGGTGATGACATAGTTATACGCTCCCTGCCCGCTTTCACGAGCGTACAGTATGTCGCTGTAAACTTTCTCAAGTGGGTGCGGGTGTGGGCTCGGGTGCGTGTGCGGGTGCGGGCGCGGGTGCGGGTGCGGGTGCGGGAGCGGGTGCGGGTGTGGGTGCGGGTGCGCTCGAGTGCGAGTGCGGGTGCGGGCGCGGGTGCGGGTGCGCTCGGGTGTCATGTGTGGGTGCGTTCGGGTTGTGGTAAGAAACAAACGGCTGATCGGGTAAGTCAGCTTCAGGACAGGTAAGCATGTTCCGCGAACCCATTGAAGTTCTCTGCCGTCAGGTAGGAGTGAATCCTTGTCGAGAACTCCTGCTCTTATTGTATTGTTCAGTGTTGTGTTGCTCGGGTGTCCTAACTTTTGATGCCATAACGATTCGTTAGCACGACGTCCGGGTGAACGTCTGTACAGATTGGAGTTGGAGTAGAAACCAGCGGTGATGTTTGCGCTTCGGTGAACGTCGCATGGAGCGGGAGTCAGCTGTTGAGCAGGCGTTGGTGCTGATGTCGTTGTCTCTGCTTCTGCCGATGTTGCTACTACTGCTGTCGATGTCGCTGCTTCTGTCGATGTCCCCGCTGCTGCTGTCGATGTCGCTGCTTCTCCCAATGTTTGGATCACTGCTAACGTCCTTGTTCATTCTTCTTTAACTTTGGTGTGCGAGCACCAAAATCCTCCAGAGCTGAAGTCGGGGTTGAGATCTGGTGGGTGCGACCAGGTGGTGAAGCTAATAATCGCGTCGCTGTCAGCGTTGCCTTGATCTGGAACGAAGTCGAGGACGAAGACGTTGTTCTTCACGACTGCCTTCCCGATGTAGAGTCCGCCCTTGCCGTTGTAAAGCTTAAAGGGTGAATTCCTTTCGCCATGAGTTAACTGACACTGAGTAAGTTGTAGCCGAGTGCTTCTGCAATCAAAACCTTGGACATCTGCAGGATAACGTTAGTCTTGCAGAATTAAAGTTGAACTACCCCTTGTCGTCGTTGGCGATGGTGATCACGACTTCTCGGTTAAGACGTTGTTCCCGTTGAACGAAGCGTCCCAAAGAGCACATATGTTGTTCGGAGCAGCTATCCAAGAATCAAGTGTCTTTCCCGGACTGTTCGCTTAGGGCGATGACTGAATATGTTGAATTTGGCTTCAGTGACTCGAGACGAGGCATGCTTTCGTCGAGCTGTTCTTCGGGTGAGTAGTTCGGTGGTGAACCGATGATGTAGGAGTCCGTTGTTCTTGTCATGCATATTATGATATTTCTTATTCCTCTTGCAGGTGGGGGCCATTGTCGCTGAAGACGGCGCCTGGTTGGAAGGGTGTTCTTGTGTGGAAGCCACTTGGCTGCTTGAAGGTTGAAGCTGGCGTGGTAGTGGTGTTGATTGCTGTTGATTCGGGCAGTGAACGCAAGAGTGTCCTGACGTTTTGCAGAGGTGACAGAACGGTGGTATTGTAAAAATAGGTTCATAACTTAGAACAAGGAGCCTAGGGTTTTGGCTAGGCAAGAGAGTGTCAAGAGAATTGCCAATGAAAAAGGGGGGGCTTCACTAACGGAACAGTTACTAGCAAGCCAAAGGGTGCACCACCAAACATGACAGCTAGAAAACTACACTACAGCTAGAACTACATGCAATTGTACATAAATATATGTAATATATATTCAGACACACCCCCTAAGTGTATGCAGGAATAGCCTTGTGCAGAATACCCCCTGAAGTGGTACACCCTGCAGAGCGAAACAGAAGGAGAGGGCAAGTGAGGAGGAGGAGGACTATGAGAGGAGAGGAGGT